CTTTAAAGTAAGCTTCAGGGATATACATAATGTGTCTCTTCGGTCTGACGGAGCCACATTTGCCTCGGGGAACCTTTACTTCTCCTTAGAGATTCTTTGGTGCAAGGGCTCTTTTTTTACGTTTTGTTATGTGTTGCATTTCATATGAGACAAAGAATCTTCAATTTTAACATTTGTCACTTTAATTCTTGTTACGATACATACTTCATTTGTTGTGTGTCCACCGAAAACATCGCGTAGAACACACTGCAAGAGGAAACTGTCGTCCTACAAAATATCGCGACGGAAAACATCGCAAGCAAGGAGAAAACATTCGTGGTAGAAAATAAAGCAATGCAAAAACGTCGCAGTTTTAAAACGTTGTTATATAAAAGATGGTGGTAAAATAAAAGAAAATGCAAATAAATTATCGCCTGAAGACAACACCGCAGATATTCGTTTTCTAATAATAAAAATTTGAAGTGAATTTTCGCGTAACTATTTGTGTGTGTAAGAAGAATTAAACAATATTTTTTGCCTCTGTCTTTCATATTTTTATGTTATCTACTAAAATTTTGTTGAAAAAACAAGAAGAAAAATATTTAAAATCTGGAAATAAGTAAAAGTTAATACTTCGTATAGCAATGAAAAAAATTATGAAAATTTCGTTGCTAATTATTAAAAGTTATTGGTTTAATTAATCTCTTTTGTAAAAATGTATTACTAGATTTTTATGGAAAAATATAATGCAAAAACAAATAAAAAAAATCTAGAAGCTTTCAGATTTTATATTACGCCCATAGAAACTTTTTTTCACTTACATATTTCGACAGCATTTGGGCTAATATTCCTTGGGGCTAAAATTATTTTAAAACAAGCTATCTTTAGTTATCCGATAGACAGTCTTGCGCGCTGTACATAAAAATGCTTTTTTCTCCATCCGTACAGTGTTGCCATTGCTCGCTTTGAAATCATTGAGTTTATTAATCAAAAATTCTTTAACGTTTTACGAAATTTTAAATACACAATAAAATATTTAAGAACTGCATAGCTTTAGAATTTCCGATAAACTGTCTCGCGCGCTGGAGATAGAAATGTTTTTTCTTGTTAAGTGTTGCCATTTCTCGCTTTGAAATCAGAGTTTGTTAATCAAAAGTTCGTTAAGTTTTACAAAATATTAAATACACAATAAAATATTTAAAAACAGCATACTGTCCGACCATGTATTCCAGATTTATGTAAATATCCGGTTTGGGGCGGAAGTGGGCATATCTATCAGTGATGTAGGGGTGAATGCAGTAGCTTGGTTAGATTTAAATGGTTCCTCTATTTCAAGCTCTTTCGAGTGCTGCGCAACAGAAAATTTTTGTCTGCTCCTTATACATTTGAAGCTGATGTACCGTGAAATTTTAAAATTATAGAATTAAACTAAAATGCATAGAAACATCAGATCGTGACATTTCAAAGAAAAACCATTCAAAGAACTGTAATAATAAACTATTTGTCTTAATACAATTCCTCATCCAATTTATAAATATTTTAATAGATAATATTAATTTAAAAATTAATAGATAACAATTAATTAATAATAATTTAGATAATGATCTTAGTAAATTTTTAATATTTTCAAACATCGATGAAAAACTTTTATCTGTTAAATATCTTTAATAAATTATATTATTAATATAATCAAATGATCTATAAAAAATAAATCATTTAATGGAGAGGTGCATAAATTATTTAATTTTTAATTAGACATGCCATACTTCCTCCCCCCTTTACATTTTTGGCTGCGTAACTGGGATGGTCAGTCTTCCTAATTGTGATTCTTCATCACAAACTCTAATCACGTTATACACTAATTTCTTAAAATCGCTGCGGAAAGGTTTATTTCTAGAGCTCTATGGAACACTAAAACTCATCGTAAAAATGAAGATTTGAAAGTAAAAGAAGGTGAGTAATAGCGATGGTCAATGATTGTAAAAAAAAACTCTAAATGACCCCCGACCTCCGAGAGGAAAAAATACCGCTCTTTTCACCGTAACCCTGTGATACTTCTTAAACAATTTGAAGTAAACGCCAATGATGGTACACAGCAATAACTTTTATTTTACACTAAAGAAAATGGCGACATACAACCAAGAGAAGAAAAGGTATAAAAACTTATTTAAAAAAATAATTGCATGCTTCGTGCGAGAAAATGCATACGGCTCTCGTACCTGCGTTTCAATATTGCCAGTAACCTACACATTATTTATTATTCATCTATCTGAAATGCACGATAGATTAATAATAACGATAGTAAAGCTGTTACAACCGCTACGACCTCCGAGAGGGGAAAAATACCCTCGCTTTTCACCCACACCCCTTCAATTAAATTGACCCATCTTGGCTCTCAGCCAAACTGCTCTCGCTAGTGTGGTTAGACAGTATGTTTAGAATTTCCGATAGATAGTCTCGTGCGCTAGAGATAAAAACTTTTTTTTTTCAAGTACAGTGTTGTAACTGCTCTCTTTGGAATCAAAGTTTTTTAATCAAAAATTCGTTAAAGTTTTACAAAATATGAAATAGACAATAAAACAAATTCAAAATTCGGGCTTCCAGGTGCCCGTATTCGGGTGGAGGACCGTGTTATTCAGAATTTGATGGTTCCATGTGCCGTTGTTTTTTCAGAATGCGAAAAAACATGAATTCATGCAAATTCTTCATACATTCTATTAACTTGCATGCAAATTCTTCGTTATTTGATTTTTTTTAAAATATAGAATAAGGCGATAATATTTGGTCTATGTCACTTTTTAAATTGTGGCCACCAAAAAAAAGCAATTTGGAAAGTGACATTAACCTTTATGATGATTTAACGTAAAATACACCCCTCTGGGCTAATGCTGCTTTCGGCTAAATATTGGAAAGAGTAAGCAACATAAGTTTAAAATTCTATAAACTACGATGCGTAACATTAATTTTTACTAATTTTCAGGGTTTGAATGCTAACATTTCTTTCTTGCTTCTAAACTGAGAGGCAAAAATATTTCGGACAAAAACGTTGCAGAGAAAACAACGCAAGGCCGAAATGTCGTATAAACCATGGTGTGTATGTGTGTGTGTGTGGGGGGGGAATCTGAAAGGTTTCAGGTTTTAAATTACGTCCAAAGGGGCGTTTTTTAACTTTTTGTCTGTTACCTTTATTTATTAAATATCACCTTCTTCGCACTTAAACCATAAAATTTAGTTCAAGAGCAATATCGCAAAATAGTTTTAAATTGAGTATATCTTTTTATTTCCGATACGCATTCTCACGCACTGGACATAAAAATGTTTTTTCTGTACAACATTGCCATTGCTCGCTTTGAAATACTTGAGTTTGTTAATCAAAAATTCTTTAAAGATTTACAAAATATGAAATCTATAATAAAACAAATTCCAAATTTAAAATTTGGACTTACTTCCACATGCCCATATTCGCAGTAATTACATCATTCAAAATTTGATGGCTCTAGGTACCGCTGTTTTATCACAATGCGAGAAATATACATATTTATATGCAGATACTTAATTATTTAATTTCTTCAAATATAATGCAGGACTCTAACATTTGGTGGCAACAGTTTAAAAAGTGAAACAGACATTTATAGTGAACCAACGCAAAATCGCAAAACGAAAACAATAGTTCTTCAGTCTTTCCGTTTGGACTAAAAAGGAGAAATCATCGGAATTCTAAAGCATCGTCGTCGAAAATAAAGCGATTCAAAAACATCGTTGTAAAAAAAAGCGCCAACAAATCATCGCAAGGCGATGACATCTCAGACATGTGTTTTTTAGAATTTAATTACTCAAAATGCATATTCATGCAATGATTTGTAAGCTCAAAAAGGAAAGTGGAATATTTTTATCTCTAAATTTCATGTTTTTGGATTAATTAATAATTTATTGCTAAAAAGGCAAGAGGAAGCTTAAGCATTCGAAAACTGAAAATGAGTATAGAATTAATGCTACGTGTAGCAGTTAAAGGAATTTAAAATTTATGTACTTAACTGTTAAAGGCTGTTATTTAATTAATCTTTTATAAAGTTATATTAGCGGTTTTTCATGAAAAGTATAGTCTTAGTAAACTAGAAAAGGAAACATGGGTAAATGCAATGAGTAACTACAAGATTAATTTACCTTCTTATCCATTTTTTTAAAAAATATGAGTATATTATATTACACTAAAGTGACGCATGCATATTCTATAGCTGAATGTAGCATGAAAATTATTATGTAGAGATTGTTAACACGAATTTTCTCGGAAACGAATGGTGTCAAAGCCGCAGAAGCATCCCTCCTCCCGAAATAACAGTTTTGCAGATTCGTGTTTTTGGCACAGTGATAACTAAATGTAAGTTATAATGGTTAGTTAGTTAGTTATGAGCAGTATTTCTGTTACTGCTTTGAACCAAATAGTTACCCCCTCACCGTATTTTCTCCTTGAAATTTTATTCGCAATATCCTTTGTTTAAATCCTAGGCAGAGAAAATTTCCCGAAAATCCCTTTTCCCCTCAATCACTCCGAATTTTTTTCGGGATAAAATTGCTTTAATCATGATTAAGTCTTCTACATCTCTTAAATTTCAGTTAGACTGTAAAGTTGAACTCTCTTCTATATAATTTGCTTAAATATAGCAATCTTTCACCTTTTTTAGGGAAACCTAAAAATGAAAAATGCTCATAGATAAAAGTTTTGGATTTGGGATACATAAAGTTTTAAAATTTTATCTATTACAAAGAATATTTTGCTGTACATAATTGGTTTTACTCATACATTCTCTTCTAAACTGTACTGAAAGTTTTTCCAGTTAATAAGGTTTTTGTCTGAAAAGCAATTAAGCTGAATGACACCAACAAAAAAACTTTCACGTAACTCACCATATAACAAATCCCAGAACACATCCCTAACCACTTTGCCTTGAACTCTTTGCGACTAGAGGGCGCTGCAGGCAAGGATACTGGGTGCAGTAAAGAATCGCTTGCTCTCCAGCCGGCAGACAAATTTGACTTCTCGAGTCTGAACGTGGGGCTTTGCCATCTCGGCGATCTCAAATTTATCGTCACCCTTCTCCCCCCGGCCGTTAGGAGGGGAGTGAGCTTCCTCTCTCACGTGACATGAGGTTCCGGAACTCAGTACCTTCTACCGCAGGCACGCCTGTTGTCTTTAAACGCGTGAGTACTACTTTGTTTCCGTATCTTAATATCGAATGTTGTTTGAAAATAATGCCACCTTTGATTTTCTTAAGAAGCATTCTTGCATTAGGAGGGGTTAATTGTGTAATCCAAAATGTAAATAGAAGAGAAATATTGCTAATTAGAGATTATTTGTGAAATTCGTGCATATACGTTAAAAATTCTAGCTGCAAGAATGTTTGTTTCAGTGTTGCTGAAAGAGAAGAATATTTTTCTTTCAGAAAGCTAAAAATAAAATTAAAAAGATACCAACTTTTTAAAAACTGAGCAAATCATTTTGTGTCTGGTTTGAAATGAACGACACTGCTATGGTTTAAGAAGAAACTGAAAATTTTCTTTTAAATTTATATAATATCACTTACTAATAAATAGTTAACCTGTTTCGTATAAAAGGAATGTAATCGCAACTACAGCCTATAAAAAGAGCTTTATTTTATCTTTTTGTAATTCACAATTACGATCCGGAATAAGAGGTTATTTTATCTTTTATTCTGACTTTACACGAAGTATTCGTATGTGTATTACAGAAGAAATTCTGTTTTTCCTTAACTTCAGGCAAATTAAAATTTAATCTGGTATTAAACATGGATAATTTAACCGAATAAAAACGTAAATAAAACGTAGCAATTAATAAATTTAATTGCTTTATTTGAAACAAATTGTTTATAATTACAACCCGGAAGAGGATATATGAATGTTCGTTCGTAAACGTTCGATTTTAAAAACTCGTATATGGACTAAAATTTAGTAAATAGAGATAACATCGAGAATTAAACTTGCTGTTATAGTTTTTATGTAATAGATTTCAGAAAAAGTCTTTAATTTTTGTTTATTTCATAACTCAAAAAAATTCCATTGACATCGTATAGAACGATTGAGATCTAATAGAGCATTTTGGCAGTTTGAGTCTTAGTAGTGTCATTAGTAATTTCAGTTTTAATAGAGCATTTTGGCAGTTTCAGTTAAGATGTGAGCATCTTTTGAAAAATATTCATTTCTTACTCAGACTTTTCTTTATTCTTTTCTTTTATTTGACATAGTTAGTAAATCAAAAAGCAACGAAACAAACAAAATATGCTTTAGAAGTTTTTTTGGCGCGAATGAAAAATTTCAAACTGTGAATTATTTTACTATATAGTTGCGTGTTAATGTAATCATTTTTGAACAAAAAGCGAGTTACTTTGTTGTCATTTCCTCGATAGCTAAAAACCGTGTATTGATTTTATTAAACAGGAAAATTCCGGTCCCCTCTTTTCATTAACTTAAAATTTTCTAGCTAAAAGTTTAGGGAATTTCATCGTTCAACCAATTCTGGAGAAATTTTCTCTCTTTTCTAATTTTTGATTTTCAAAAAGGAACAGTGAAAATTAAAGGTAGAATTTAAGTTCGTAAGTAGAGAATGTGATTGTAATTTGTAAATCAGAGCGTTGGGAAAATTAGCGTTAGTTCTATGTGGAATTTTTCGGGACCACTTCAGTAGTTCGTAAATTCGCACCATAAAATTGTTTAACTAAGTAACTCCAGGGCTGTCTGCGTACGTGGCTGGATGCCTTTGTGGAGGGCTTTTTAAGGGAAGCTGGCTAGTATTCATGCTCATCATAAGAGAAAGCGCGAAAACTCCCAACCCGTTTGTTGGAATCTGAACTGAGGTCAAACAGCCAATGTTTAGCGATTTTACCGCTCGGCTGCTGGTAAGCCCGTAAAGACGCGGATCCACTATATTATTGTTTTGTTTTTAATTTGCTCATTTATTTGGATTAGTCTGTTCTTCGTTTTTTAAAAAAGTAGTGGTTAAGCTGTATATTGTATAATATGTATAATTACTAGTGATTAATCATTTATATAAAGTCAGTTTTATAGTTACGGTTAGATTGTAAGACAGATAAAACGAAACTGGCGACTGCAAATTTTCAAAACTATTCATTTTTATTCTAACTCGTTTATAATTCGTGGACTGCAAAAGAATTTAATTAGTATTCCCAAACGAAACAGAGAAAGGCTCAAGGGGAAATCAACGAATTGCTTCCCCATATGCCTCTCCAGAATAAAAAGTGCTTTCAGTTATTTTTAACGGTTTCCATATGCGACACCTTTCTAAAGGTGCTTTCTGTTACTTTTAATCCACTTCCATAACTTAAAAAAATCAGTGTCATTAGTAAAGAAACCAATTTCTTTACATTTGAATTCCCCAAATGTCCTTCATATTTTTATGGACAGACGATTTAAAGATAACTTAATCGATAACTTAAAATTTCTAACGAATGATAAGATAATTACGGTACTTGCTAGTTAGGAACTTGTTAAATTGATTGTTTGCAAATATGAACAAGAAAAATCATTATGAACTTCATACATTTTGTTTAAGTGAACTGCAGTTTTTACTTTAGTGCACATAAGAAACCAATAAATTTTTATTTTAGAGCATTCAATTAACATAATCGATGGAATACAATAGTAAACTGCACCAATAGAGAAAACAATAATTTTTGCTTTATTGCACACAAGCAATTGCAGATTGTATAATTTTAATCGAAATGCAATAAATTTTCTTAAAAATCATTCTCATCTATTTCCTTTCTGTTATGAAAAACTTGATATGCAAGATGTAAGAGAAGCTTGCAGATTCGAATTTAAAACAAGTAAAATTCATACTAATTTGAGATTATTTTAGGGGAAAGCTGAATCCGTTTTTAGACAAATGTTCCTCTTCTTCATGGAAAAAAAAGGTACTTATCAGAATTTCAAGGAGGTTCTTTCTTCTCCACCGAGAAAAAATAATTTGGAAAATAATATTGTTACTCGAAGAGCAGAGGAATCTGTGATAAAACTCCTTCGAAATACGTTTTTTTTTTAAATAAAAACTAGTTTAAGTGTGATACTTTCCAAATTTCAAATTTGAAATGTAACTTATCAGAAGTATAAAAGGTTCTTATAAACAAAATTAAACTTTTACACTGTTCCCATTGTATGTTTTCTCCTTTCACACCTACACACGAAAGTAACATGTGATGAAATTTTTTTATGTATGTAACAAATGAGGATGCTTATCAGATGAATTAATTTATTTACATTTTTACTTTTAATTATGAAAATTTGCATGATTTCCTTCTGGTTTAATTGTGTGGGCAAAGATAATTTAATTATGTTGGTAATTATGCAAAATATGAATTAATTTTGCTATTTTCTGTGCTCTATGCATTTTATTTTTCACATGCATCTGGCTATGCATTATCACTTTCAGAGTTCTTTGTGGGTATCTAAATAATAATAATAAAAAAAAAAGACACGCATTTCTTATTTTTGCTATTCTTTACTTCCTGTGTTTATGCTTCCTCTTACGTCGTTCTCACTGAAATATTTCAGTGTATAGTAATTCGTCGTTATTCGCGAGGTTTAGGTTTGCACAGTGTTGCGCGGGTACCGAAACCACGGATAACGGATAACTGGAGTAATCGCAATACAAGTAGACTCATTTAAACTAACCGTATTGTTGTTATTTCAGTTGATTAAATTTCGTATTTACTTTAACTATCTTTATTTTATAATTTTATTGGGTTTATCAATAAAAATATTGAAATAAAATATTAATTAGTATTTGTTTCAGTAATTAGGTGTTTAAAATTATATTAGTTTCCTGAATTTCATTGTGTAATTCTCTGTGGAAATCCCATAAATTTTAAATACGTCAATCCGATTTAAAAGCATCGATTCCATTCTATGAGAGTATTAAACTCGAGCAGGGAGTTATTTAGTACCGAAGAAAAAGTTATTTTAATATTTTGTTTGAAAAACCTGGTTTAACACTCCACCTTTAACATAGTCCGTTCATTCAAATTGGGAAAAATTCTTATAATATTTATAGTGTTAACAGAGACGTTATAACAGCATTATGGGTCCCCGACGAACTAGTGTACTGGGTTCCTACGACAACCATCAGCCTATTAAAGGCAAGTCATCACGGATATACAGATTAGCAATGGGGCCGTATGCTCATACTCCCCCCCCCCAGGCAACTGTTCAACGTTCTCATTGAGTTATTTCAGTGCATGGTAATTCGTCGTTATTCGCGAGCGCTTGCACAGTGTTGCGCAGGCGCATGTGTCAAGACGGAACTCTTGAGTGTTAATTCCTGAACGTCGTCAGGTGTTACAGGCATCGTGTTTTAGAACCTTCTGAGTGGGAAGCCTAATGCTTTTCGAATACGATTTTCTAAAAGATTCTCTAGCAATATAAATTTAAAAAAAAAAAAAAAAAAAAAAAAAAAACTGTAAACTTTCAGATTATATTGCGTCAAAGGAGGATTTTTAAACGTTTGTGTGTTACCTTTATTTGTTAAATATCATGTTCTTCGCACTTAAGCTATAAAATTCAATTCAACAGCAATATCACAAAATATTTAAAAGAACATATCTTTAGATTTTCCGTCTCGCGCGCTGGAGATATTTTTTTCCCCGTAGAGTGTTGTCATTGCTCGCTTTGAAATCGTTGATTTTCTTAATCAAATCTCATAAATGGAAGCCCGAATTTGGAATTTTTTTTTTATTATCTATTTCCATTTTACAAAATAGGAAATAGATAATAAAAAAAAAAATTCCAAATTCGGGCTTCCAAATGCCCATATTCGGGTGGAGACATACGTTACTCAAAATTTTATGGCTCTAGGTACGTTGTTTTATCACAGTGCGAGTAACACACATACATGTGATATTTTGGCAGTCGTGACGAATCTTAACATCAAAGTTCAGGCATGGCTTTATGCAGAATGGTAAGAGACACAAATTGATTTAGCTTTTAATTGCCCATTTTTATTTACTCCAATTAGCAGATCATTTTCCTTTTAGTAACACTCTTTAAATTACATATCCATAGTGGTTTTAACTAAGTATGATTGAATTTAAACTTTATGCGTCATAACTAATTCTAACAAAAGAAGGAAAGATGGATAGAACAGCGCAGAGTCTTGTAGCAGAGAGATTAGG